GCTTCTTGAATATACAATATTTTTTTTATATTTTGGGCGACAAAAAAAAAAAAAACAACCACAAAATACAACAGAACATTTATTTTGATTTTATCTAAAAATAAAAGAGAAATTTTATTATAATCTACGTATTTAAACGCGAGTTATATTTCAAATTTTGAAAAATTCTAAGTTAGTTCAATAAGACCTCGTTAAATTATTGCATAGTTAATTGTTTGAAGCTGTATATTCAAAATTTATCTATTTGTTACTATTTTGCACTATACTACTATAGTAAAAGTGAAGTTTAAGTTTGAGATCCGAGCAACGAAAATAGTTGCAAAGTAAAAGATAGATAATGAATTACTTTCAACAAAATTTTCACGAAGGACACCTCAAATATTTGAACGTGTAAGTATAATTCTACTACAAGTACTACTCTAGTTTGGTTTGACTTTTTTCTACATTTTATTTATACAAAATTTCACTCGGTTTTTATTTCATTTATAATAAGTGTTTAGTCCAGCCGAAAAAAGTTATTCTCCCCTCTGTGTATTATTTCAGTCGCCTCTGTAATCAAGCCGTATAGTGTCTTTACATTAAAAAAAACAATTTTCATCAATATACTATGTTCTCTTGAATTTGACTAGTTTAGAAATCAAAGAATTAGTCACAAGGCTGCACCAACTTTACCCTCAACCCCCTAAACGATACATAAGGATACATTTCAAAAAATACACGCTCCATGGGTAAAGAGCTGTTACCACACAATACTCTTTGGCAGGTGTTTGAAAATTACAATTAAAAAAGAAACTATCACAAAGCCATTCGCAAACTTTCAGATCCGATAAAAGATAAAATACCTGTAGTATACAATTAAATCTTACAATTTCTTTATTAACATTTTATTAAATTCGTGCTCTTTTCATACATTTTTTGATGTCGACAAGGTAAGTGTTAGATATTAAAGTATTCTGCTATGTATTTAATATGTCGAAAAGGTACTTGACTTCTTTGAATGTCGACAGTAATTGCAAACTTCGTTCGTCGGGAGATATATCACATTCCATTGCAGATCATATATAAAAACAAATATCAACAAGGAAGGGAGGCATTATATGAAATTATCAATCAAGCAAGCAACAAAGGGTAATCGGTAAAGAGCAAATTAAATGAAAATAAATATAAAAATCTGGAAACAAATTTATCCCTCTGAAGCACTTACTATAACAAAATTACATGAAAATTGCACACTCGGTTTGATTTAGTCTGTACATGAGAGATAATGAATAAGTGCAACATCCATCAGATAAGCCACTTGTCTATGCAGAGAAAACATGAAGAGGACACAAACAGTGAACGCTGAACAATCCTTTTGAGGATGAAAATACAATAAAATTGCATGTATGTACGGGTGGACTTTTCACGGCCACCAGATGACACAAACAACACGATAATAAAGAAACGTTAAAGAACGCCCAAAAAGGCAAAAATTGAAATGTTGCAATCGTTTTGACAGAATCTACCTGAAGACGTAAGGTAAAGCTACGAATTGAAAGGCTATTATTTAATAAATATGGATGTGATCATTGAACTTTCAAAGTGAGACTAAGTTGCGATTAAAAAAGTCTAATAAAATTCCTTCTTAAGGTATGACCATCCTTATGCAATTCCTCCGCTTTGAAGAGTATTCAAATAGGCTAGAACTACTCTTACAAACATTGAAACTTAGGGCCGGCCATGGGTTCAAATAACCTTTGTTTCTTTTAACATTATTTTTGCATCTCTCCGTTTATTTTTAATTACTTAAGCAATATAGGCATTATTGGCTAAATAATGCTAAATCTAATAACAGACATTTCACCTGATATTTTGAAAGTGCAATAAATACTTGTTTGTTTATTAAGACAAGTACCTATCATTTTACATCAAATAAGAGGAGGGTGGGGTACGAAAAACCGTCAGAATTTGTTAAATGTTATCTGGGCATCTAATATTTTTAGCAATAATTATCTAGAAACTTTGTTTTATATTTGTGTAAAATATAAAGAAAGTTTACGATGTTGATTTTGAATAAAAATCATTTTAATTTGTTATATTTCTTTTTCTTTTAATGTCCAATACTTTTTGTCGGAAATCAAAAATTAATCATTTTGCATTTTCCAACTTTTGAATTGTTTGTATAAAATAATGTTAATAAAATCTATGCTTACCTGTTCTATATTCTGAAGATGCCTTTATACTTGCAATTTGCGACACAAAGGTTTCGATTTTATTAAAAATGCCATCACAAATGTGAAGAATTAGGCGTTTGTCACGAAGAAACGAACTAGCGTAAAATAAAAAAAAACAAATTTCCTTCATGTTTGCAATGTAAAAGTTGATGTGAAAATGTGCGTTACTTTTTGTTCGTACCTTATTTGTATATTATGAGTAAATGACAAAATAAACAATGTTTTAGTAAGTAAGATAAAATATTAAAGTTACGTTACAGATCCGAGCAACGAAAAAAAAATGCAAATAATGAGGTAGGTAATGATTCTTTATGACAAAATTTCACAAAAGATAACTCAAAAGTTTAAACTTAAAATGAAATATCAACCATACCGTTTTCCAAATTTACTATAGTAAAAGTGAAGTTTAAGTTTGAGATCCGAGCAACGAAAATAGTTGCAAAGTAAAAGATAGATAATGAATTACTTTCAACAAAATTTTCACGAAGGACACCTCAAATATTTGAACGTGTAAGTATAATTCTACTACAAGTACTACTCTAGTTTGGTTTGACTTTTTTCTACATTTTATTTATACAAAATTTCACTCGGTTTTTATTTCATTTATAATAAGTGTTTTGTCCATCCGAAAAAAGTCATTCTCCCCTCTGTGTATTATTTCAGTCGCCTCTGTAATGAAGCCGTAAAGCGTCTTTACATTAAAAAATCAATTTTCATTATGATACTATGTCCTTTTGAATTTGACTAGTTTTACTAACAATTTATAGAAAACAAAGAATTAGTCACAAGGCTGCACCAACTTTTCCCTAAACCCCCTAAACGATACATAAGGATACATTTCAAAAATACACGCTCCATGGGTAAAGAGCTGTTACCACACAATACTCTTTGGCAGGTGTTTGAAAATTACAATTAAAAAAGAAATTCTAACTATCACAAAGCCATTCGCAAACTTTCAGATCCGATAAAAGATAAAAAAAACCCTGTAGTATACAATTAAATCTTACAATTTCTTTATTAACATTTTATTAAATTCGTGCTCTTTTCATACATTTTTTGATGTCGACAAGGTAATTGTTAGATATTAAAGTTTTCTGCTATGTATTTAATATGTCGAAAAGGTACTTGACTTCTTTGAATGTCGACAGTAATTGCAAACTTTGTTCGTCGGGAGATATATCATATTCAATTGCAGATCATATAAAAAACAAATATCAACAAGGAAGGGAGGCATTATATGAAATTATCAATCAAGCAAGCAACATAGGGTAATCGGTAAAGAGCAAATTAAATTAAAATAAATATAAAAATCTGGAAACAAATTTATCCCTCTGAAGCACTTACTACAACAAAATAACATTAAAATTGCACAGTCGGTTTGATTGAGTCTGTACATGAGGGATAATGAATAAGTGCAACATCCATCAGATAAGCCACTTGTCTATGCAGAGAAAACATGAAGAGGACACGAACAATGAACGCTGAACAATCCTTATGAGGATGAAAATACAATAACATTGCATGTATGTACGGGTGGACTTTTCACGGCCACCAGACGACGCAAACAACACGATGTGAGCGTGAAGCCAGCGCTAGGGGTCGAGGACAGTAGCCTATACAATCACTTTACATAAACTGTACCCATAACATTTTCAATTATGTTGTTTTGTGCATAGTCTAGAGTATTCGTTTATTCTATTCTTACTTTACAAAAGAGAAAAGAAACAGAGAAGAATTGAAACATTAAAGAACGCTTAAAACGGCAGTAATTGAAATGTTACAGCTCGTTTTGTTAGAACAAATTCATAGACGTGTTCTTAAACTACGAATAAAGTAACATCCGTAAATAAATTCATAAGGAGGTAACATTACAGGACAAGAGCGGATATTGAATTAATTCATTTACCTAACGTTTAAAATTTCAAGGGCAATAAAATGACCGGATACTTTTCAAAGTTATACGGATTGATTTCCCTTTTGATTTAAACGTAGCAACACCGTTAACTTTTTTGTCAAGCCAACACTGTAAAAATATATGGCGACTTTCGAGCTTTCGTTATTTTTCCTCTTATTCCGTCGTGCATTGTTTTTGTTGGAAAACAAGGAATGACGTAAGCATGCTAGAGAACTCATATGAGGAAATTTGTCGAAATCGGTGACGAGTTGCAAATGTTTTATCGTCAAATACATATAACTACTCCGTAACGGACGCCCAAACACCGCTTGTGAACAAATAACTTTTTTTGAATAAATTCTTATATATTCTTAAATATCTTTTATCTGACAAACTTAATAATAGAAGGAAGCAATAGCTATTTCAATACAGGTATAGAACAAATTAGCAAGACAATCAAAACTCATGGTTTAATGATCTTATTTATGCTTTGCTTATACATATCAACATCATTGAAGATCATATAAAAGGGCAATTTCTTACATGTACATAATCGATAATATGTTAAACCAACACAACTATCTATTTAGAGCATACTACACATGCTTACTCTCGACCTTGTGGATATTCCTGACACGGTGAGGACCCACATTTTACTTCCACGAAATGAAACAGCTTTCCATTCTGTCTACTTTCACCATGAAAAATGGCGTCTGGATTGGCATCAACACATGCGTAATCGGTTGAAGATGTATGGCCGTAATAACCAGACATGAGGTACCCAGTATATTCCAGCGTCCATCCTGAATAACAATCAGTTTTTCCTGGTATCATAATTGAAGTTGGTCTTTGACTTCTACAAACTACACATGGTGCATCTTGGTCATGCATATGCTTGGGGAATGGATTAAAGGCAGCAGAGATCTGGTACTCTGTTCCAGAAATGTAAGCTCCTTCATTTTGTAGACCTTCAACGAACTTTGCCCATGTTGGATTTTCGGGAAGACAAATATAACTTGCTGCACCACCAGCAATTTCATAGGGATGACCAGCAGTATACCCTTTAATTGTAAAAAGTGGATAAAGGATATAACCTCTCTAAGTACGAGATATTTACAACAAATACCTTGTCAAATGATTAAAAGTTTGCAATGATCGGAGTAAGAAAGAGTCACACCTTAACAAAGATTAATCTGAAATGTCTCAGATTCCTGTTTATGAATAAAACATTACAATTAAATGCAATGTATCAATCACACATATACTTTGTTCTTTTAATATATGTTTACCTGAATAAACTTTTTCCGTTCCATTTCCTTCACAAGCAGTCTTTCCCCATCGTGTATAGATTGAACCAGCATCTTTAAAAAATATCGGCAATTGAAACACTTTGATCATGTACAAGTATACTTAACAGAAGTCACCATATATCAAAAGTGCATATGTAGCTGTTGTAATCGAGGTTATTTCACTGTCAATTTCAATCTTAAAGGTTTATATGTGTTAAATTTAACTAAACTAAATTGCGTACAAAAAGATTGTTTTCTTCTAAGAAAGTATTGTTTGTCTGAATTCTATATTTGCTGGAATCTATTATATTAAGCACAAACGATATCTTTAGTTTCATACAACATTTTATAATGTATATAATTATGTACCTGACGCTGCCTTTATGTTTGCAATTTCCAATTTTAAGTTTTGGATTTCGTTAAAAACGTCATCACTGCTGTGAAGAATTAAGCGTTTCTCTCGAACAGATGCATCTGCAAATGAATAAAATTAAAAGAAGAAAAAGAATAGAACAGTTACAACTTTCTTCATCTCTGCAATATAAAAAATCTATGAATATGTATGTGTTACAATTTGTATATATACTCGTACAGACATGTAATAACAAAAAATACCGCAAACTCTGGGCTACTGAGGTATCATAAAATTACCTTTTCATTCGTGTAAGATTAAATCGCAGTAGTAAATTTCGATATCTCAGCAACTAAAAGTTGCATGTTATCACAGTATATTCTAATCTATTTTACAGTGTTTTTAAATGTAATTTTATAACATAATTATATGTATGAATAGAGGGGTCATTGTATCTGTTCTCCTGCATTGACATCTGCTAAAGCACGAGGCCGCATTGAAAGCCCAAGCCCGCGTGGCTAAAGCCGAGGGTTTTAGCAGATGTCAGTGCACGAACAAGAGCACATCACAGGCGGGGAAATATATGCCCGAATGCAAATTTGTTTTAAGTAATCAGAATTTTAGTACAATATCTAAATTAGGGAAGAAACATGCTTTCTTCAAAATCAATTTGATAATAATCCCCCCGTAGAGTAGAGTGATTTGTAAGCATATATGCTTTGGGGAGAAAAAGTGTGTATTTATGCCCGCCACAGGTTGCCCATATGGGCGAGTCCTCAACAAGAGTATAAATCGTTTAAGATTTAAGATGAAAGTGCAAGATACAGAACGAACCCCTTATTCCAGAAGAGTCATTTTATTCTAAAGGTTGCCAAGTGTTAAAATGACTTATGCTAATTTTTTGCTGTTTGATGTCAATTTGAGTAGAATAAGTAATAAATTTCAAGAGATTGACTATTATAATGGTGATAGGCCAAATATTGATAGGATAGGATATAAAACTATCTAACTAACTAAAAGCAGTCGGGCATACTTCCTGATCGGGAAACAAGGAAATTCCCCTTTCAAGGCTTTCCGATCAGGCAGCAAACGTCAAAATCCTTCCCGATCGGGAAGTTTATTGGCCCTTTTTACGTAGTTCAGGAAAGACGGCCGGTGCATAATAGTTTTCAACCATCTTCAATATGAATATTCTTTAGTGCAGAAAAGATACATTTAAAATCCTAAGGAGTCATTTTCTTTTAAAATGTTCAAAATTTAAATAATCTGAAAATGAATTTAAGTGAAGTTTTACGATTTTACTAAGAAGTAGCTCCTTCCCGTTATTAAAACACTGTTTCTAGCAAAATATTCGCCATTAAATGTTTCCCTTTTGGAATTTTTTTTTTATGTTAGCGAGTTCTATTCTGGAAATCTTTTGTGTTGATTGAGATTGCTTGGGACAACACCAACAAATAAAGATATCTGTGATAGCATCATAGGTGGTGTCTCCTCAAATTTTGTGAAAACGAAAATTCAAATATGACACCTATTAATTTAAGGGTTACTATGTTAAAGGTCATAGTCACAGGGACATTAAATGTCAGAATGGTTTTCGCTCATTATCTTGAAAACTATTTCTCTTCATATTTCCAAATTGATAAGTCATATGCAGTAGATGACTCCTTTTGATTTTGTGGTCACTAGTTCAAATGTCAATGTCACACGGGCCATAAATGTCAAAATGGTTTCCGCTCATTGTCTTGAAAACTATCTATCACTTAGTTTTATATTTCACATATTGATTGGTCGTAACTAGTAGATACCCTCTATCAATGGTGTGGTCTTAAGGTCAAAGGTCAAGGTCACAGGGACCTTAAATATCAGAATGGTTTTCGCTCATTATCTTGAAAACTATTCTCACAAAGTCTTCATATTTCCAAATTGATAAGTCATATGTAGAAGATGACTCCTTTTGATTTTGTGGTCACTAGTTCAAATGTCAATGTCACACGGGCCATAAATGTCAAAATGGTTTCCGCTCATTGTCTTGAAAACTATCTATCACTTAGTCTTATATTTCACATATTGATTGGTCGTAACTAGTAGATGATCCCTATCAATGTGTGGTCTTAAGGTCAAAGATCAAGGTCATAGGGACCTTAAATATGTTTGTTTATCTGTCGTTAGACCACACTGTTTCCGCTGATTATCTTAAAAACTATTTATAAAAAAGTCTTAATATTTCATATTAGATGACCCCTATTGATCTTTGGGAAACTAGGTTAAAGGTCAAGGTCACAGGTGTCTTAAATTTCAGAATGGTTTCCGCTCATTATCTTGAAAACTAATGATCAAAAAGTCTTCATATTACCAAGTTGATTAGTAATAAGTAGTAGATGACTCCTTTTGAATTTGTGGCCACTAGTTCAAAGTTCAAGGTCACAGGACCCTTAAATGTCAGAATGCTTAACGCTTATTATTTTGAAAACTATTGATCACAAAGTCTTCATATTTCACATTGTGATTGGTCATAACTAGTAGATAAACCTTTTTATACCCCCAAAAACGAAGTTTGGGGGGTATATAGGAGTCCCCCGGTGGTCGGTTGGTCGGGCGGTCGGTCGGTCGGTCGGTCCAGACATCCGTTGCATTTTTCTTGTCCGGACCATAACTTGAAGACTAATCGTTGGAATTCAATATAACTACATACAATGGTCAAGCACATTGAGAGGAAGTGCAGTGCACAAGAACCATAACTCTATCTTGACTAATTACAGAGTTATTGCCCTTTGTTACTTTTCTTTGTCCGGGGCATAACTTGAAAACTACTGGTTGGAATTCAAAACAACTTCCTACAATTGTCAAACACAATAAGGGGAAGTGCAGTGCACAAGAACCATAACTCCATCTAAAGTAATTACAGAGTTATTGCCCTTTGTTACTTTTCCATTGCTTTCTTTTGTCCGGACCATAACTTGAAGACTAATGGTTGGAATTCAATATTACTACATACAACTGTCAAGCACATTGAGAGGAAGTGCAGTGCACAAGAACCATAACTCTATCTTGACTAATTGCAGAGTTACTGCCCTTTGTTACTTTTCCTTGTCCGGGGCATAACTTGAACACTACTGGTTGGAATTCAAAACAATTTCATACAATTGTCAAACACAATAAGGGGAAGTGCAGTGCACAAGAACCATAACTATATCTAAAGTAATTACAGAGTTATTGACCTTTGTTACTTTTCCATTGCTTTCTTTTGTCCGGACCATAACTTAAAGACTAATGGTTGGAATTCAATATAACTACATACAATGGTCAAGCACATTGAGAGGAAGTGCAGTGCACAAAAACCATAACTCTATCTTGACTAATTACAGAGTTATTGCCCTTTGTTACTTTTCTTTGTCCGGGGCATAACTTGAAAATAACTGGTTGGAATTCAAAACAACTTATACAATTGTCAAACACAGTTAGGAGAAGTGCAGTGCATAAGAACCATAACTATATCTAAAGTAAGTACAAAGTTATTGCCCTTTGTTACTTTTCCATTGCTTTCTTTTTGTCCGGAGTATAACTTGAAGACTAATTGTTGGAATTCATTATAACTTCATACAATTGTCAAACACAGTAAGGGGTATTGCAGTGCACAAGAACCATAACTCCATCTTGACTAATTACAGAGTTACTGCCCTTTGTTACTTTTCCATTGCTTTTTTTTCCGGAGCATAACTTGAAGACTAATGGTTGGAATTCAATATAATTTCATACAATGGTCAAGCACATTGTGAGAAAGTGCAGTGCACAAGAACCATAACTCCATCTTGACAAATGACAGAGTTATTGCCCTTTGTTACTTTTCCTTGTCCAGAGCATAACTTGAAAACTACTGTTTTGAATTTAATACAACTTCATACAGTTGTCAAGGACATTAAAAGGAAGTGCAGTGCATAAGAGCCATAACTCCATTTTGACAAAATACAGAGTTACTGCCCTTTGATACCTTTCCTTGTCTGGAGCATAACTTAAAACATACTGGTTGAAATTCAAAACAATTTCATACAATGGTCAAGCACAAAAAGAGGAAGTGCAGTGCACAAGAACTATAACTCCATCTTCAGTATTTATAGAGTTATTGCCCTTTGTTCCTTTTCTTTGTCTTTCTGGACTTATTACAGAGTAATTCAATAAAACGTCATCAGTGGCCAACCACATTGAAAGGAAATGCAATATATACAAGAACCACAACTATCTTTAATTGCCCACAACCATAACTCTTTATTTCAATTCTTTTACAAGATATTCTGTTACTAGTAACATCCTCATTTCCAAAGCAGTCTTGTGGGGGTATTAATCACATTTAGTGATAATTCTAGTTGATTTTGGGGTCACTAGGTCAAAGGTCAAGGTCACAGGGGCTTAACTGTCTAAAATGTTTCCGCACAAAATCTTGAAAAGTATTTATCACAAAGTTTTCCTATTTCATGTTATTTATTAGTCATATGTGGTTGATACATGGTCCTTAAATGTCAGAATGGTTTCCGTTCATTATCTAAAAAACTTTTTACTACTAAATATTTTATATTTCACTTATTGATTGGTTATAATTAGTAGATGACCCCTATCGATTTTGAGGTCTTTAGGTCAAAGGTCACAAGGACGTTAAATGTCAGGATGGTTTCCACTCATAATCTTCAAAACTATGCGTTTACAAGTTTTGTGTTTCACATTTTAATTGATCATTACTAGTAGATGACCCCTATTGATTTTGAGATCACAAGGTCAGAGGTCAAGGTCACATTAACCTAAAATGTTTATTTTATTTTATATATTAATCTTTTTTTTAATTAAAAGTGGCTTAATTTTCAGAAAACAGAAATATGACACAGTCACTACAAAAACATGTAATATGCAAACACGTCTTGAGCTATAGCCAAAAACTATTTATATTTATCAAAATCATTACCTTCATATATCAACCTCCAAGTTTCCCCCATCCGTATGTGTGCTCTAGTCAACATTATACTTATTTGAGCTGCATGATAATTGTTTTGAGAAATTACACTCTGTGCAATGTTGTTCAACATGTGCTATACAATCTTAACAGTATGAAACTTTTTTATTGTAATAATGATGTTTGTACTGTCCGTCAACTATAGCTAATGTTTTACTAGGTATTATTACGCCTTACAAGAACATATGCTTCCCCAGATATA